GGGACCCCTCCAGGTTTGGGGTGACACGCAGGGGACCCCCGAGGCTCACCTGGGGGTGACAGCGAACACGTCGGGGTGCAGGTCGGCCAGGCCCCTCAGGGTGTCCCCGGGGTGCCGCAGGGACCCCACCCAGGCCTGAACCGGCACCAGCGGCGCCGGGACGGGCACGGAGCAACCGCGGAGCACCGGGGACGGCTCTGGGGACAGCTCTGGGGACAGGGACAGGGGGACAGGGCTGCCTGGGAATGCTCCGAGACGGGTGCTGGCAGCGCCCCAAAGCAGGGACGGCCACGGCTGATGTCCCCAGGGTGTCCCTGATGTCCCCAAGGTGTCCCCAGGGTGGTCCCTGATGTCCCCAGGGTGTCCCTGATGTCCCCAAAGTGTCCCCAGGGTGGTCCAGGATGGTTTCTGGTGTCCCTGATGTCCCCAGGAGGGTCCCTGATGTCTCCAGAGTGTCCCCAACCCCATGGTGGCCTTGGCCACGATGTCCCCACTGTCCCCAGCCCCAGGGCCGCCCTCTCCCCACTGTCCCCAAGGTGTCCCCAGCCCCCACACTGTCCCTAAAGTGCCCCCAAGGTGTCCCCAAAGTATCCCCAAGGTGTCCCCAGCCCCTACACTGTCCCCAAAGTGTCCCCAAGGCGTCCCCAGCCCTCACACTCACCCTTGCAGGGCTCGGGGGCCGCGGGCGGGGCCGGGGTCGCCGTCGAGAGCTGCGACAATGATGAGGCGGGGGGGACAGGAATCAACCAAGGGCTGAGGGGAGGGGGGACACGACCCCCGCCCGCCCTCCGGACCCGCCCCTGGGCCCGTCCGGGACCCCCGAGCTCCCCCCCGGCCGAGCTCCCACTTGGTTCCGCCCAATTCAAGCCCCGCCCCCGTCCCCTCAGGGATGGCTCCGCCCCAGAGAGGCCCCGCCCTCAGCGATGGCTCCGCCCCCAGCCCTCAGCAATGACCCCGCCCTCAGCGATGGCTCCGCCCCTTTCACCGCCCTCACGGCGCTGGCCCCGGCCCGGTTCCGCTCCCGGTACCGCTCCCGCTCCCGGTTCCGTTCCCATCCCGCTCCCGGTTCCGTTCCCATCCCGCTCCCGGCTGCTCTCACCGCCGCCCAGCCCCGGCCCCTGCTCCAGGCCCTCAGGGCGGCCGCCCCCGCGCGGATCATGGCGGAGCAGCGCGGGGCGGGGAGAGGCGCCGTGACGTCACCGCGCGCGGCGCCACTTCCGGCGGGGGCGGAACGGCGGGAAAAGGGGAGGGAGGGGAGGAAGGGGAGGGAGGGGAGGGAGGGGGAGGGGAGAGACACCCCCCCCCCACTTTGTGTTCCCCACCCCAGTTCCCATCCCCATTCCCGGTTCCATTCCCATCCCAATTTTCCATTCCCATTCCCATCCCCCATTCCCGTTCCCATCCCCCATTCCCATTCCCAGTTCCCATTCCCATTCCCAGTTCCCATCCTCATTCCCAGTTCCCATTCCCATTCCCAGTTCCCATCCCCTTTCCCAGTTCCCATTCCCATTCCCATTCCCCATTCCCATTCCCCATCCCCATTCCCATTCCCAGTTCCCATTCCCATTTCCCATTCTCAGTTCCCATTCCCATTCCCATTCCCCATTCCCATTCCCAGTTCCCATTCCCATTCCCATTCCCATTCCCATTCCCATTCCCAGTTCCCATTCCCATTCCCAGTTCCCATTCCCATTTCCCATTCTCAGTTCCCATCCCCATTCCCATTCCCCATTCCCATTCCCAGTTCCCATTCCCATTCCCATTCCCATTCCCATTCCCATTCCCAGTTCCCATTCCCATTCCCAGTTCCCATTCCCATTTCCCATTCTCAGTTCCCATCCCCATTCCCAGTTCCCATTCCCATTCCCATTCCCAGTTCCCATCCCCATTCCCATTCCCAGTTCCCATTCCCATTATTTCCCATTCCCATTCCCAGTTCCCATCCCCATTCCCATTCCCAGTTCCCATTCCCATTCCCATTCCCAGTTCCCATCCCCATTCCCATTCCCAGTTCCCATTCCCAGTCCCCATTCCCATTCCCAGTTCCCATTCCCAGTTCCCATTCCCAGTTCCCATCCCCATTCCCATTCCCAGTTCCCATTCCCAGTTCCCATTCCCATTCCCAGTTCCCATTCCCATTTCCCATTCTCAGTTCCCATCCCCCATTCCCAGTTCCCATTCCCAGTCCCCATTCCCATTCCCATTCCCAGTTCCCATCCCCATTCCCATTCCCATTCCCATTCCCATTCCCAGTTCCCATTCCCAGTTCCCATTCCCATTCCCATTCCCATTCCCATTCCCATCCCCCTCTCACCATCCCCATTTTTCCATCCTTTTTGATCCCTCCCGGCCGCCGTTCCCGCTCCGATCCCCAATCAATTAAATCCCAATTAAATCCCAATTAAAGTCCCGCAGGGCCTTTTCCCGGAGCCGGCGGGAGCTCGGCGGCGATTCCCGGAATTCCCGCCAGCTCTGGGATCCGAGCCCATTCCCGGTTTCCAGCGGGATCCGTTCCCATTCCCTGCATTTCATCCCAAATTTTCCGTCCCCTCTGGATCATCCCGACCTTTCCCTGGTTTTTCCAACCTTTTTCCATGATTTTTTTTTTCCCGTTTTCCGTCTTTTTTTTCCCTTTTTCTGTCTTTTTCTCTTGGGGGAAAAAAAAAAAAAGGCGGGAAAATAATGGGGAAATAATAAAATAATAATAAAATGATTAAAAAGGAAATAATGTTAAAATAAGAATAATAATAAAATAATATTAAAATAAGAATATTATTAAAAATGGAATGATTTACTATTAAAGTAATAATTTTAAAATAATACTTTTAAAATAAGAATATTATTAAAAATAGAATGATTTACAATTCAAATGATATTAAAATAATAATTACCATTAAATTAATATTATTAAAACCAGAATAATTTACCATTAAAACAATATTAAAATAATAGAATCAATATTAAGATAAAAATATTATTAAAATAGAAATTTACTATTCAAGTAATATTACGCTATTAATAGTTAATATTAAAATAATGTTATCAAAATATAATATACTGTTAAAATAACAAACTGTTAATTAATATTAAGATATCATTATATAAAATAGTGATATTAAAATAATAATACGATATTAAGATAATAATTTAAAATAATAATATCAAAATAATAATACAATATTAAAATAATAATATTTAAATGATAGTAATAAGATATAATTTATTAATATGAAAAGAATAATAGTTTTAAAAAATAATAATAGGAAAATAAGAGGAAAAAAACCCCCGGGAAGGAAGAAATTAAAATAAGGATTTAAAAATAAAAAGAAATTAATTAAAACCAAGGGAATAAAAGGAAGGAAGGAGGAAAATTCCTGGAAAATTCTGGAATTCAAATGAAGCCGAGGAGATTTTATTTCTATATTTTTTTATTATTATTATTTTATTATTTGCTGTTAAAATAAAGATGGAATTTGGCCCCGAAATTCCCGAAAAAAAATGGAATGATGGAAATGCCGAAGGCAGAGCAGCTCCATGGGCCTGGATTTGAGGGAATTCCGGTGGGAATGAGGAGGAGGAGGAGGAAAAGGGAAAAAAGGGGGAAAAAAGGGGAGAAAAATGGGAAAAAATTGGGGAAAAAAAGGGGGAAAAAAGAGGAAAAAATAGGGAAAAAAAGAGGGAAAAATGGGAAAAAAAAGGGGGAAAAAATGGGAATAAAATGGGGGGAACAAAAGGGAAAAAAGGGGGAAAAAATGAGGGAAAAATGGGAAAACAGGGGAGAAAAATGGGAAAAAATTGGGGAAAAAAAGGGGGAAAAAAGAGGAAAAAATGGGAATAAAATGGGGGGAACAAAAGGGAAAAAAGGGGGAAAAAATGAGGGAAAAATGGGAAAAAAGGGGAGAAAAATGGGAAAAAAGGGGAGAAAAATGGGGGAAAAAAAGAGGAAAAAATAGGGGAAAAAAGAGGGAAAAATGGGAATAAAATGGGGAAAATTTGGGGAAAATATGGCAAAAAAGGGGGAAAAATGTGGCAAAAATGGGAAAAAAATGGGGAAAAACTCAGAGAAAAATGGGGAAAAAATGGGGAAAAAATGGGAATAAAGGGGGAAAAAATAGTGGGGAAAATGAGAAAAAGGAGGGAACAAAGGGGGAAAATGGGAAAAAATTGGGGAAAAAAATGAGGATAAATAGGGGGAAAAATTGGGGAAAAAATGGGAGAAAAAGGGGAAAAAATAAAAAAAAAAGGGTGGAAAAATAGGAAAAAAAAGTGGAAAAAATGGGGAAAAAATGGAGGGAAAAAAAGGAAATAATAGGGGAAAAAAATGGGAAAAAAAAAATTTGGGAATTGTCATTCCAGAGGAGAATTCAGAGCTCTCCGGGAAGGGGGAAAAAAAGGGGAAAAGAGGGGAAAAAATGGGGAATAAATGGGGAATAAATGGGGGAAAATGGGGAAATAAAATGGGAAAAAATGGGAATAAAATGGGAATAAAATGGGGAAAAAATGGGGAAAAAAATGGGGAAAAACGGGGAAAAAATGGGGAAAAATGGGGAAAAAATGGGGAAAAAAGGAGGAAAAATAGGAAAATATTGGGGAAAAAATAGGGAAAAAATTGGGGAAAAATAGGAGAAAAAAAGGAAAAAAAATGGGACAAAAAGGGGGAAAAATGGGGAAGAAAAGGGGAAAAAATGGGAAAAAAAGAGGGAAAAAATGGGAAAAAATGGGAAAAAATGGGAAAAAAAGAGGGAAAAATGGGAATAAAAGGGGAAAAAATGGGAATAAAAGGGGAAAAAATGGGAATAAAAGGGGATAAAGTGGGAAAAGAAAGCCACCAAAAGAAAAGGTGGGAATGAGGGAATTCAGAGCTCTCCGGCGGTGTTGATGACGTGGAAGAGCGTGACGTTGTAGATGACCTGGTGGCCGTTATTCCAGGTGTACAGAACCCTTTCCCGAGGGTTGTAGTCCAGCATGGAAATGTGGGAATATTGATTATGGAATGGGAATAGGGGGGAAATAAAGGGGGGAAAGAGGGGAAAAAATGGGGAATAAATGGGGAATAAATGGGAAATAAAATGGGAAAAAATGGGAATAAAATGGGGAAAAAA